CTTCCTCGTCGCTGCCCTGAGCTGCTGATTCAGCATCTTCTTCCTCTTCCTTGGGTGTGTCGGCGCGCGATTCTGGTGCATCTATCATATCCTCGTCGCTGTCTTGCTGGGGTGTTGCGCTGCGAACAGGCGTACTGCGACGCGCTGCAGCTCGCGATGGGCGGCCGCGCGCCATTGTGGCTGGTCGAAAACGGCGTTGGAGTGGCGCAGTTGAAGCTAGCAACAGTTGTCGCGATGTGTTTGTAACTCCAACTTCGGGATTCGGATGCAAATTGGGTGAAGGGCGGTGTCGGTGGTTGGCGATGCTCTTGCACTCCAGGAATGCTAAGGACCGCGACGTGAAAGAGCTAAGCAAGGGTCCCGCGCACGGCCCGCAGTCATCACGTGCAAGCTCAAGCCAGGCGTTTTCGTCAACGTCTTCCCGGACTTAACGTTTATTCTCCAATGTCTTATAAGCGGCCATCGTCGGCACGTTGGTGCATCGAGTGATTTTACCCACTGCGGTATTCGATGTCAACGCTTGTCACCTCCAAGCGACAGCACGAAGACCCAAGCATGTTGCATCTCTATCATGGAATCATGAGAAACGAGCTCGTTGAACGGGTTTCTTCAGCATCAGAACAGTGAAAATAATACCCTGAGTTATTGCTCTCGGAATGAATATGTTTAGAGTCTTTTATGAGCGCGTCGTCTGCATCCGCTCGATCTGTAGAGGGGTTGATCCTGCCCAGACCACCATACACCTTGGAACTTGCCACCTTGAAGTACACAGAGTCAACTCGGCAGGACCAGACGTGTATATCAACAAACATGGGTCAGAAGTCAAGAGCGCCGACCCCAACAGATCCCACACACTCGTGGCCTCACCCGTTCGACTAACCCCGTAGCCTCAACCACACTGCCGAACCTACAGTACAGGACTGGGATAGTGACGAACAGCCACTATGCCTCATGATCGCCTAATCAGTGCCAAGAGGAGCTTTACGGGCATCTTCTCTCGAATGAGTATAGCTCCGTGAGTCGGAGATGTTTCTATCTCTGCTCTACTATGCTGACATTGTCAAGTATCCCGCCGCCCTGCTCCGCTAAGCACAACGAGAACAATGCACCAAGCTGTGAGACTCCAGGACCATCCTCGCCAGTCGCGAGCTCAACTGTACCGGATTCTAGCGACGAATCGCCTATCAGAGAGAGTCCATCAATGCGCAAAGGTCTAATGGGCTCGTTGCGAAAGCAAAAGCTGCGGAGCATCGGCTCTTTACGCAGCTTGCGCTCACCTACCAAAACCAAGCAGTCTGACACATCAGATTGCCTCATGGACAGTGTAGGCATCTTTACTTACGATGGAGAAGTGTACTGACCCGGTGTGCTCTAGAGCCCTCTAACCCCGAAGCACCGCCTCAACTCATCGCTTTTACTCTACTTCGAGGAGTCTCCCCCAGACAGACCAATATTCGATCTTGACCGTATGAACTCCCGAACCTCGAGTCTGTATGTCCACCATTCCTCGCCGGTACCGGTCCCATCATCCTACGAACAGATCCCGCAATCACCTGCAGATTCGTCGCTCATACCAGACGGCACTGTTCCACCATCACCAGCACCTATCCAGAAGATTCTAGACTCAGAAAAGACCATGGTTCGTTCGTCACCAGCATACATCGAAGCGTACGAACCAGGTTCGGAAGCGATGAAAAGGCCAGCTTCAACAAGAAGCGCTCTGCCTGACAGTCTTCGGGAAGCTGCAGTCTACTTCAATGAGCCCCTTGTTCGTTTTCCAAACCCAGGATCCGACTATCTGCCTATAGAAGATTGCTTTTCACTCTCTGCTAAGAGCGAAGACTTAGGGCAGATATCAGCCCGAGAGGATCCGTCTGGTGTGGGTCGTATGGAAGACTCGCCAGTCTACAAAAACCCGGATAAGCCATCAGGTGACGTGATCACCGAGGTCTCGAATGCAAATAATACGGACAAGACACCAGAGCAGCATGCACAGCTCCTCCTTGAGAAAGGCTACCAGGCAAGCGTCTACCGTCGAGCAGACGGAGAGTGTCGCCTGAAAATCAAGCTGCTCGCCTTTTGCCATGAAGATGAAGACGACTGCGAACGGAACAGTGAAACCTCAATCAGGTATGCTGCTGCAGAAGAAGAAAAGCTGGCGTCACAATTGAGCGCTATCATTCGGGATGCGGGGCTTACCTCTGTGTCTGACAACGAGCTCGATGAGGCGTTTGCTACAGGAAAACTCCCAGCATATCTGGATGTTGACCCGAGTTGGCTCATCGCCGAGGAAGTGAAAATGGGAAAGCGTGATAGTTCCTGGGGCGAGCATACCGGGCTCTACGATGGTAGCGGCTATGGGTCAAGAGCCAGCTCCCGACCTGTGACTGGTGTGACTGAGACGGCCGGCGTACCTCGTACACGTATCCCTGGAGCATTCGTCGACCACGAAAACGAAGCGCCTATGATCATCCGCAGGCTGTGGGACAATACCTATCCGCATAGCCCGGATACGGACTCGCCTGTGAAAGCTACCGTGGCTGATCCCGCAATCTCCGCAGCGCAAGAGCAGCACAACAACCCCTTGCAAGACTACGAAGCCTTCCAGGAGATGTTGGAGCTCGGCGGTGGTGCATAGATCATCGAATGCGCACGTCGTTATGCAGGGTCGTTTAAAATCGCTGGGTCGGGTCGGGCCCTGAAAAGTGTGACAATGACCGATCAGGAACGGTACATCCGGCATCCTTCCCTGCAAACAGCATTCCATCGAAAGAGTCTCCATAGTTATCAATGCAGCCCACAAGTTTCTTCCCCATACGCGTCTTCCAGCTCATCCCACACATGCGTAGTGGAGCGTTCGCGTGCCCCTACTCTCATGATGGCACCACTGTGCCCAATGGCCGTACATGTAATCAAGGTTCCAGTCCGCAGATCATCCGAGTGTTGCATCAGTTAGTCCAACCAACGGTAATCGAAAGCAGCGAAGATCCGGGCTCCAGAAGGTGTAGGAGGGAAATCAGGCCATGTCGGCTCATGCGACTTACCCGAGTATGGGACGGTGACTGGGGTGTGCAGTGGAGTTAGCGAAGATGTGCGGAACAGCTCGTACGATGTTTAGTATTGGGGGTGGGCAGTAACACGATCTAACACATGATGATTATGCTGTGATGTGAGACGCCGTTGGTGCGCCGGCCTTGCGCGAGAGTACTTGCTGGCGTGCTTAAAGGCGTGGTGGCGGGCGGCTTCGAGGCTGTTGCGGTGTCCCTCGGTTTGCCCCGCGTGAAGTTCAGAATGCCAGGCCAAATCCATGCTTCTTGTGGGGAGAACGCCAACGACGTCGTTATCCTTGGCTGCGGCATCATCGGCTTGTGTACCGCGTACTTTCTCACGAAAAGTGGTAAAACAGACCCAAAAAGTATTCATCTAGTCGATTCGAGTCCGAAGTTATTTCATTGCGCGTCTGGCCTTGCTGCGGGCTTCTTGAGTGCCGATTGTACGTATGAAAGCACACGTCGCGTGCAACATCGGCGCGTCGCGTCATCCAACACCTGATCGCTTTATCTGACTACGAATTAGGGTTCGCACCATCCGTAGCTTCCCTCGGCGCGTTATCCTTCAAACTCCACGCCAACCTTGCGAACGCGCACTCTGGACGTACAACATGGGGATACTCGCAGTCCACCGGAATCTCTCTTTCACAAGACAGCGAATCAGCCATTGGCGGTAGCGGCGAAGACTGGCTTGAGAACGGAACGAGTAGAGCACAATTGGCGAACCACAACAAGCCTTGGGAGGAACAGGCTGCTGGTCCAGAATGGCTTCGGCGCACACAAGAAGGCATCATGGAGGTCATAAGTAGGGATGGGACGACTGCACAAATTGATCCGTTAAGGTTCTGCCAGTGGCTTCTGAAAGAAGTTCAGAGAAGAGGGGTCACGATACATCAGCCAGCGACGGCGACAGCCATTGTCAAAGACCCAGAAGACGTGTTGCGCGGTGTAAGGATATCAGAGGGTGATGACGCTGAGTCGGAGACAGAGTGTAAGGTCTAATCCATACTGCCCAACTACACATTTGCTAACTACCTACAACAGTACCATGTAGTCGTCTCGTAATAACCTCCGGTGCATGGTCTCCACGCGTATTCAGCACCCTCTTCCCATCCTCGAAAGCGCGCATCCCCGTCTCCTCATTAGCTGGCCACTCGCTGCTCGTTCGAAACCCACACCACAAACCCGAAGAGCTCGACAAGGAAGTCTGCCACGCAGTCTTCGCGACAGATACACTCGGCTTCTCGCCGGAATGGTTTGCGAGACTGGGTGGAGAGCTGTATCTGGCAGGGCTCAATAGCACAAACATACCGTTGCCGGATGTTGCAACAGATGTCCAAGCTAGTGCAAAGGCCATTGAGCAGTTGAAACAGTGTGCGAAAGCTATGATGGTCAATGTCCCCGGAAAGGACATGGAGATTTTGAGGGAGGGCTTGGTAAGTTGATACTGGGAATCGAACGTCGGACTAGTTTGCTAATCGCAGGACAGTGCTTCCGTCCAGTCACATCTAGCGGCCGACCCATTGTGTCGCGGGTACCGGACGAAAAGCTCGGAGGCATCAGGACGAAAGATGAAGGGAATGGAGGTGTTTATATAGCGGCGGGTCATGGTGCATGGGGAATTTCGCATGCGCCTGGCACTGGACTTGTTCTTTCGGAGCTGATAGAAGGGCGGGAACCAAGCGCAAACATTGAGGCGTTGCAATTACCATCGTAAAGTGCTCTTACTCAAACAAAAATGTGTATTGGGTACTCATCAACTGGCTATATCGACACAAACGTGCTGGTCGTGTGACGAGGATGGAATCGGGCTCATTATTTCTGACATCATCTAGTGCACGAGATCTCTGGAGTTAGCGCAGGACTGCGCCGCATGTTCGCACAGTGACTCCGCAGTTGGCCTTCCCGAAACGTCATACAATGCTACTATAGCAATTCCAAGCAGACACAATGTCTACGAATCCGGCCGACGAGGTTGCCGCGAGGAAACGACGAGAGCGCGAGAAGAATCCCATCCACATCGACCAACTGGACGCAAATATTGTGGCTGGTGCGTCTAAGTTCAGACTAGGTATCGAGAGTTCTCTGAAGCTAAAGACCGTATCTAGCGCTACCGAAGGATATGGACATACTATTGATTAAACAGTCCGGTGAAAGCGCTTGGTGTGAGAGCTTCCGCATCGATACGAAGCTGCGAGACGGTTCGGAGGGACAGTATTTCGTGAAGGTTTGATTATATGTCTCATCACACGCGAGAGCTCATCTAATGGAAGCGCAGACCAAGATCGGCGAGTTAGGAAAGCGGATGATGAAAGGTACCTACGAATCTGAGCGACTTTACCACAGTTACTGCCCCGAGCATGTTCCGACACCGATAACGTGGGGAGCATATAAAGACAATCCGGACACATGGTTCTACATCTGCGACTTCCACGACATGGTGATGGAGAAACTTGATCCAAGAGCTTTTGTCGGCATCATAGCTGAGGTGCACAAAGCAAGTATGGAAAAATCACCGCTTGGTAAATACGGATTTCACGTTCCGACTCATCTTGCTCACGTACCGAACAACAACACATGGGAAGACTCGTGGGAGATCTGGTACACCAAAGCCATGCAGACTATGTATGATCTAGAGAAGAGCAAATACGGAGTAGACGAAGAGTTGGAAGTCATCTTCGAAGCTTTCCGTTCAAAAGTCATACCTAGGTTACTCCGCCCCTTGGAAACCGGCGGTCGCTCGATTGAACCATGCCTCTTGCATTCGGATCTCTGGCCTGGAAACTGTATGCTGGAGAAAGACACCGGCAAGATCATCATCTTCGACTCGTGTGCTTTCTGGGGTCATAACGAGTGTGACTTGGGTAGCTGGCGTGCGCCGCGGTACAATATGGGCGAGGAATTTTTTACATGTTACAAGGATATCGTTGAGCCTTCGCAGCCGAAGGAGGACTGGGACGATCGCAACAGGCTTTACGCCATGTGAGTACTCTCCTAGGCAAGCGGGCTGTTTTGCTCACGAGGATTAGTCGCTATGATCTTCTGGTCTCCGCGCTCTATCCGGAGAAGCCCGAATTTCATAATAGGTATTTATAAGAAGACTCACGTATGGTAATTAGGCTGACTGATTCCAGAGCCAAGGATGAGATGAGAATACTCGTCAAGAAGTTCCCTGGCGGTTTTGAAGACTGGCAAGCCCGACAAGCGTCTGCATAACGTGACCTCTGGAGGTCAAACGCGATCTCGTCAATAGCTGGCTTCAGGTCCGTTCGTTTGCACTTTTCAGAGTGACTGCTTACCCCGCGTTTGATGTGCTCTAAGCGACTGTGCCGCAAGACTAGACTGTAGAGATGTCAAAGCGTATCTTGTGAGTCAGGTGCCACCTTTCTCTGTCGTACCCTGTTTGAGGCATTCAGCTCTAAATAACACGGCTTTCCGATCAGAATGGCCAAGAGTGAAAGTAACGAAGCCGCGGAAAAAGAAGGGGTTGCGAATGGGCTCGCAGACCAAGAAAAAGAGGGCGCGAATGTCGAAGACACTTCATACACCACGTTCACTCCCACTCAAAAGCGACTGTTACTAGGTGCCTGCTCTACAGCAGCGGTATTCTCAACAATCTCGTCGTTCATATACTTCCCCGCAATTACAGCGATCGCAAACTCATTGCGGGTTTCCATCGAACAGATCAATTGGTCTATCACCTCGTACTTGATAGTATCGGGAATCGCACCCTCGGTTTTCGGCAGTCTGGCTGACGACATCGGCAGACGACCCGTACTTCTTTTGACCCTCTGCATTTACGTCGGGGCAAACATAGGACTGGCTCTTACGCAGCACTATGCGACTCTCATAGTGATGAGATGTCTGCAAAGTGCTGGTGCTTCAAGTACCATCGCGATCGCCTTCGGTATCATCGCAGACATCTCGATACCTGCAGAAAGAGGATCTTACGTGGGTGTGTTGATGGGTGCTACCAACGCTGCGCCATGCTTGGGGCCTGTTATCGGTGGAGTAGTTTCAGAAAAGCTATCGTGGAAATGGATCTTCTGGCTCTTGGTCATCGTCTCCGGTGCCTTGCTTGCGACACTTGCCCTCTTTCTTCCGGAGACCGAAAGATGCCTTGTAGGAAACGGGAGTCTTCAACCAGCGCGCCTCATGAACAGATCCATATATTCGCTTGTATGTCGGCGTAAGACCAGGTCTCCGGCAGCTGCATCTTCTCGAAGTCGTGGCTCCGCCTTTCTAGGACCTTTCAAATCACTGTCAGCTCTCAGGAACCAAGCCAACTTCATCGTTATCTTAGCCGGCGGTATCACTTACACTATGTATACGTGTCTCGCGGCTTCCCTCTCAGCGGCAGTCATCACAGAGTATGAGATGAATTACCTTACGGCGGGATTGACCTACCTTCCGAACGGCATTGGCGGTATCCTCTCATCGTATGCGTCCGGCAAACTTCTCGATCACGACTACAAAGTCACTGCGCGCAGACTAGACCTCCCATTAACATCTCAATCGGGCAACGAGTTCCCCTTCGCAAAGGCTAGACTGCGATCGATGTTTCCGGTTGTAATCGTTAGTGCGGTGGCTACCATAGGGTACGGTTGGGTATTGCACACGAGGTCGCATATCGCTATACTGCTAGTGGTCCAATTCTTCTCAGGAGCGGCTCAGGTATGTGTTTTCGCGACATGCGGGACGCTGCTCACAGATCTGAATCCCGGGAGAAGTTCGACTGTACAAGCGAGTTACAGCCTGGTGAGATGCGCTCTCAGTGGTGCCGGCGTGGCGGCTTTGGAGTTCATGGTGCGCAAGATAGGATACGGGTGGACTTTTACCGTCTTTGGGAGCTTGGGAATGTTGTGTGTTCCCATACTTTTCTATCTGAAACAAAAGCATGCTCTATGAAGCAGAAACTTGATTGTTGGCTGATTATAGGTGGCTGGAGGGTCGCGTCGCGATCATGAACATGACGCGTTAAGGCTGTGCTTAGCGCCCTTGCCCCCTACCTAATCAATTGATGACGCCCGGGCCCCGCGGGAGGCCTCCTGCACCAACCCAACACGTCTTCAAAACGATCCTAGCATAAATTCCAATAGGCAGCAACATCGTTCATGGCAGCATTCTGCCGCACAGCCCGATCACCAACATCGCAGGCAACCACAATGCTGAGTCGTTCTTTGTATTCAAAACGTCGCTCTGTCGAATAACCCGACAAACACTCCACAATAGCAATTCTGCCAATCATGGCCAGTCATGAAGCAAATACCCAGGCTGAGCCGGACATGTTCCAGCATTCTGTTTTGCCAAAAGAGGATGGCTCCTTCCGATTGATACAAATCAGACCTGATCTCTCCATCGACGGCCTCCCCGACTGTGACCTACAGAATGCGCTAGTCAAAAATTCGAACTATGTCTGTCTTTCCTACACCTGGGGTCGACCAGGGGACGAGTGCCCTATTAAGCTCAACGGAAAACTATGTCATGTGCGCCGAAACCTCTACGACTTCCTCCAAGCGGCACGCCAGCGTCTCACATTTTGCACGTTATGGATAGACGCGCTGTGTATCAACCAAACCGATGTCGAAGAACGAAACCACCAAGTTCAGCAGATGGGTAATATCTTTGCTGGCGCAAGCTTTGTCGTGTCGTGGCTGGGCAATAGTCTCGAAACGCAAATATTCGTTCAGGCAATGGAACAGGAGTTCGACGACCAAGCCTGGAAGACTTGGGAGGAGTTCTACCACAGCAATAGATCTCGGCGGAGCAACTCCGAGGATGTAGAGCCGAACTTCAGCAGTCGCTCGGCCCCAGCTTACAATCTCATTGAGAGTGCATACGACTCCAAAGTCCTTGATTCTTCACTGATTCAGAAACATTACCATTGTGTTGCAAGGAATGCGTACTGGAAAAGGGCCTGGGTCACACAGGAAATAATGCTAGCAAACGCGCTAGTCGTGATGGCTGGACAGCACGTCATCGGCTTCCTGTCACTCGTACACGCCTGTATGTACACGATAAGGAAGATCCCTGGAGATTCACTCATGGAATATGCGTACCTGTTCTTCAAGCAACAGGGCAACCACCCCGGGGATAGCCCCGGCCGCTCGTTCGTGCCAATCGGGAAGTGGCAGGATACCCATGGACTGCTCGCCCTCCTACAATGGTTCAGAGGAAAATGCTGCGCACTTCGACGGGACCGCATTTACTCCTTGCTAGCGCTTTGCAAGGGTGGCGAAAAGGTTAGGGTCGATTACGACGGGTCAGAATTCGAGCTCATCAGACAAGTTCTAGATGCATGCGAAGACGAACTATGCTTCTGCTCTGCTGCTACCGTGGCTCGCATCGTACAAGGACCTGAATTCTCACATCTGGAAAAAGAAGCTTACGACGTCACTGTAACGCATGACTTCAAGCTTCAGGCATACAGCTCGGATCTCGAAATTTGTCCATCATGTACCCAGCAGATACGTCGATCTAAGCCTGGTGTATACTTTTGCTTGAGCTGCGAAACCGATATTCGCAGAGGCTGGCATGGCCATCTTTTCTGGGATAATTCTCCTTGTGACAACGTAGTGAATCCCTCTCGGCGTCGTGACCTCCTGTGGTTAGCCAGAAAAGACATGCGCAGGCCGCGGGTGCTGTGTAGGAAAGGACAAGGAATTGAGATCAAACAAGAAGAGGTCGAAGGCGAGATCTACACCTTGCGATTTTCTCTCGGTACCCTCGTCGATGTCATGCATCTCAAATTTGAAGACGAAAAGCGGGTTCATTCATCGCACACATGTCGTGGTTGATGACGACATCTGCTCTTCGGCATGAAATCATGCCTAGGCAGAGATGCTGGGTATATACGTGCTGTATCCTAGTATTCAGCACGCATGGATCTTGGCAAAGCCTGGGTTATCGCGAAAACGATATCATTATGACTAAAGCTAACTCCACCGACCAAATGACTACATTAGCGAAGTATGTGAAGAATGGTAAACCCTCTCAGACGCCCCAGATATGTAACAATGTACCTGATGCAGGAACGTCTTTGTGGGACCAGTGTCTTTCACGCGTGTCCCAACTGCCCTTTTTGCACACATTGCCATCCTATGCATCTATCTCTGTGATCACGTCCTACGGCGGCTCGCCTCGTCCCAGTCTGCATGGCTCGGTCTCCTTCCGCATTCATTCAAAGATCCTTTCTTCATATACTTCTTGGCCATACTGAAGATAGGCTTTGACTACCACGTTGCGTCCTTGCATGGTGAAACCGGTTTTAATTTGTCGACAAAGATGTAATATAGCGGTGAGATTGCTTGACTTAAGATCTTCGACCAGGCCGCTGTCGTTAACTTTAATCTGACCGAGGATGTCGTAAATGTCGGCTACCCCACTGATCTTTATAATGCTGAGCTTTTGTAGCTCTTCCAGACCCAGGATAGCTTGAAGTTGGAAGTCGTGTAAGAACATTTCGAATGAAAGTGCGCGTACAGAGACCGTTGCATGGCCATTCGTTGCTGTACACACTAATGGCGAGTAGAGTGTAACATTAAGCTCGCGGAGTCTTGAGAAGTGCTTTATCGTGGAGGAGTAGACTTTGTTGCATCTTTGGGCGAGCTCTTGGGCGTCAATCTCACTTCCGCCGGGCTCAATTTCGAGAAAAACAAGCCCTCGCTGCCCCTCCGTGTTCGTTGTTGTCGCCTTTCGCACATGGAGGTGCAGGGAACTGGCCTTCAGTGAAACCATGATCCTACTGAGAGCTCTACAGTCACCGAATTCGAAATGCGCTGCCTCCAACAAACAAGGGAGAAGTTCGCTTCGCAGGCTCTTACTTGTAAGACAGAGAGGTGGAAGAAATGGAGAGTGCTTCCTCTTGACTCGAATAGACCACTCATAATCCTTGGAGAATCGCAAGTGTGGCCAATTCTGACAGGCTATTGAATGCGTTTCGTCTAGGAAGTACTGTTCGTAGACCATGCATCGAAGCTCCTAGTGTAGATCGTCAGCTAATGTCACGGTCAGAACTGGTACGATGATAACACGTACAGCAGGTAAAGTCATGAAGAGGTGGAATGCGGGTTGGTGAAGTAGCTCGTCAACGTATGGGTTGATCGCGGTCAGGAGCTCTTTGAAGCCATCGTGCGCATTGTCGGCTTCCAGACCATCGGTCGCGTCATTCATAGCCGGTCCCATGGTGTCGTTGGAGGCGGGGTGTGTCGAGCGGGTGAAACACGCGTGGTTAGATCGGAGTGTGTTTACCACAGACTTCGGAAGGCAAGAGCGACTAGAATTGGGAAGCGACGGAGGATTTTGTTCGGCGCGCTCTCTCAAGTTTTGGTGGCTGGCAGAAGTAGCATCTTAGTCTGCAGAGTACTCCAGGGCTTCCAACTCTGGTGAACGAGGTAGTCGCGTGAATAGTCGGGGTACCTAGGTAAAGGCAACGCGCTAATACTATTACACTAGAGCCCATCCGGCCCGGTCACCCACAGTTGCACCCGTGGGCAGTCCTGCCATAATTGCACTGCAAACCGAATTCCAGACTGAGTCGAGGTCCTTGTGTGGCATGTCGAACAGCTTCGTCAAGAGATGCGTTGGCGATAGAGACATGCTACAGATAGTCGCACAGGTATGCACTACCGTGAGTTAGGTAGAGCAACTGTGGGTGTTCAAGAACAAAACTATCAACTGATACTTTGTATATTCTCGTTGAACAGCTGGTACTATTATCATACTAGACACCTCGACATTACATCCCTACTCGTCATCGTCGTCGTCATCGACAACAGGTACGGGGTCAGCTTTGCCTGTGGTCTTGACCTTCCGGTCCTTCTCCGCACCGGCTGGCTTCTTGCCTTTCGGGTTGGCGTCTTCATCGTCGTCGTCGTCTTCCTCGGGCACAGCGGCATCGTCATCGTCGTCATCGCTCACGTCGTCTTCCTCCTCCTCTTCATCATCCTCATCATCTTTGGGCTTGGTGCGCTTGGTCTTCTTCTTTGGTGCTGCAGTCGAGTGTGAGAAACTTATATACAGTTATATTGGGCGACAGTATTGGCTTACGAGGCTCTTCGGCGTCGGAATCGTCTGAATTGAAGTTTGATCCGTCAGACTCGTCATATCTACGTGACATGTGTTAGCACTGTGATGAAAGTTCCATAGTCGAGAGTAAAGCGCAGCTCAGAAGTCCTCAACACTCAAAGGAGAGACGTGACCGTCGAGCGAATCCAAGTTGAGAGCGTTGTGAGCATTGTTGCGAAGCGCCGTCGCGTCAACCGTTTCTCCACCCCGAAAGCCCGGGCGCAACGTCGATTCCGCGCCTATCAAACTTTCATAGAACTTGGTAACAAGTCCAAAGATCCTAATTCACTTTGCAGAGGGAAGGCGATTGCGATGCCTTCAAGAGGGGATGCGTGCGACGCGAAGTGCAAGGGCCATGACGTCAAGGAAGCGCCGACTTACTCTTCTTCCTCTTCGCTCTCATCACTTGGGAGAGCGACAAGCTCCTCTTCCTGGTTCTTCCTCTTTCTTGTGGACATTGTGTCGTTCTGGGGAAATTCGACGAAGGTTGGTAGGTCAAGGTAGTGTTTTGGGGTAGGGCGAGAGCTGAGAGCTATGGAGAAGCTTGCGAGCGGGGACCCAGGGACGGGCGCCCGGATGAAATAGACACCACCTACGCAGGCCCTACCAAGGAGGCTGGGAAGCCAGGGCTCTTGCGGGCTTTTGCTCAATGGCTTAGTTCGGGCTGTTCGGGTGTGTCCAGGTTAGCCAATCATTGGCCATGTGGTCATCACCCGCATGGGGGCACCGGGACGGGGGCACACAAGCGTTGCGCTGATGTTACTTTGCTGCAGGTACCGCTCGATGTCTGTTGACATGAGAGATCCATCGAGAGTGTCGCAAAGACATACGTCTCAACGGCAATTGTAGGATAGATAATCGTGAACAATGTGCATCTAACCAGCCTCCACGGTATAGGAGGGACACAACAATACCTAGGTAGCTACGCAGTGTGCTCCTTTATGTCAAATCATTTGTAACTACAGAAATGCGTCAAACGCAGCTCGCATTTGATCCATATATGTAGAATTGCATATGAGATCCCTTTGGCGGCTAGCGATCCGATACAGCGTTCAAGGCAGCAGGCTCCCATAGTCACGGTGTTGCCCATGTGTTCGCAGCTCAAGGTGCAGAGCTCTCTTCCCAAAACGGTCAAGCTCACCCCACTTAGCGCCAGTCATCGCTAGTGCCCCTCCCGCGGTACCGCGTCTCATTCGTGCTGCCTTGCCGACTTTACTTTCTTACTCTCAATCGTTCCTCAACCGACCCGACACAACGCTCGTTCGCACCCGCGCCCTACGTTCCCATACGCCCAATATGTCGGCAGCTCAGGTCGCAAGAGGACCGCGGATCAAAGGTCTGAGCGATCCCTACCACTATCAATCCAAAGCAACGCAACGAAGCAAGGCGCCCGTGGTGGCTGCCACCAAAACCGCGAAACGTACATACACCTGCTGCGAGAAACCCGAGATAGATACTTCCGACAATGAAGTCTTGTGCTACAACTGCGGTGCTGTCCACGGCGAAAACAACATCGTCTCCGAGGTTACTTTTGGCGAAACTTCGGGCGGAGCAGCCATTGTCGAGGGTGGCTTCATCCACGCCAACCAGCGTCACGCGAATTCCATGGGCGGCACTATGCGGGGTCTGGAGGGTATGGGTAGCAGGGACCAGGCTGCGATGAACGGCAAGAACTCCATCGTAGCTCTAGGCGCATCTCTCAACCAGCGCGAGGCCGTCGTAGAACAGGCTTACAGCTGGTACAAGCTCGCCATGAACCACCGATTCATCCAGGGTCGCCGCATGAGGACCGTTGCCGCTGTCGCGATCTACATGGCAGCACGGAGACAACCCGAGAACACGCTCATGCTCATCGACCTGGCCGAAAAGATTCAGACCAACGTCTGGCAGCTCGGAGACACGTACAAACAGTTTCTGGAGATGTTGAAGGAGGACGATCCCGCACAGCTCGTGGGCACAAAAGCCGTCCAGGAGATCGAGCCGTTGATGCTGAAATACTGTCGGAAGCTCGAGTTTGGAGAGGATTCTCACAGGGTCGCCGACGACGCCTGTAGGGTCCTGAAGCGCATGAACCGGGACTGGATGGTGCAAGGTCGTCAGCCGGCTGGATTGTGTGGCGCCTGTATCATCATAGCCGCCCGCATGAACAACTTCCGCCGGACCATCCGAGAGGTCGTCTACGTTGTCAAGGTCGCCGACTCCACCATCACCTCCCGTCTATACGAATACAAGAGGACACAGAGCGCGGCTCTCACTGTCAACCAGTTCCGAGAGTTCGGGCCCCGTCTCAAGGTTAAGGCTCAGCCTCCTGCCATTTGGAGGCGCGCAGAGAAGGAAGAGCGAAGGGAAAAGAGGAAGCAACGAGCAATGGAGGGCGGCGACCCGGAGACTACAGAGAACCAGTCTGGAGATAGCGAGGCAGAAGCAGGCTCAGACACGGCACCAAAACGCACGAGCAAGAGGCGCAAGTCAAACGACGGTTCATCTCAGCCAGTTGCGACCCAGACGGAAGCTTCTGGTACACAGGATAGCGATCCATCCTCTGAGTTAGCGGCTCTTGACGGCAACACGGAGGCGGTCCTGGAGTCTGTTGTCAGTGCAGTCGAGGAAGTCGAGGCCGGTGAGACCATCGACCCAGACTTTGTCATGCCTAAGAAGCGTGGCCGACCACCAAAGAAGCCGCGAGTGCCTGTTGTCATCGCCGAAGAGGATCTCGAAATTGAGCACGAGCTTGAAGACGAAGTCACAAATACCATCAAGGACTGGGAGGGTATCTTCAAGGAAATCGCCAACAGTGAAGATCACGAGCTACTCAGGCGTTCGGGCTGGACAGCAGCAGAGATGGCCCGCGTCGCCGCCGACACCCGCGATGCCGTCCCCGTAAACACAGATCCTGAGATTGGTGAAGACGAGTTCAACGACGACCCCGACGTTGCCACCTGCATCCTCAACCCCGAGGAAGTCCGCCGCAAGGAAGCCATCTGGATCACGGAGAATGAACAGTGGCTGCGCGACCAACAGACGAAGATGTTGCAGGCCGAACTCGAGGCCGCAGAGGACAAGCCCAAGAAACCTAAGCAAAAGCGCAAACACCACCAAATGGGCGACGGCAATGTCCTTGAGGGCCAGCCTGCAGCTAGCGCGGCGGACGCTGCCCACAAGATGCTCAAGAAGCGCGCCAAAGCTTTCAGTAACCACATCAACTACGACCGACTCAAGGAACTGTTCCCTGGTGGTCACCCTTCTGCGAGCCCATCTGGCAGCGCTCAAGGTGCTAGTTCAGCCTCCACCCCTCAAGCTGTTGTGCAGCAGCCTGCAGATGTCGACGCGGAAGGCGAGGAAGAAGAAGAGGAGGAGGAAGAGATGGAAGAGGTAGAAGAAGAAGAGGAAGATTTGGAGCACAACTACTTGGAAGACGATGATGAAGGATTTGCTAACGAAAGCTACGACTACTAGAAGTCTTGTCCGTGGTTCTTTTTTGGGAGCATCAAGAGGTTGGCGATTGGTTTTGCATTTACATGGCGAAAAGTTTACTAGATATCACGACCTTGGTCGGCTATCTCTCCCGAAGTATTGGAGCTTGCTTTTACGGCCGCGTTGGCTGGAAATTTAGATGCGGAGTATCTTGGGGTTGAGACTTTGCATATATACCCCCGCTTGCGAGCGCAGCATAGCATCATGGCAACGGCGTTTAACTTTCATCAATGAACATTCAGATCAATATCCTTCGCTGTAGCACATTCCAGTTTTCGCGCATACATCACATGTCAAAGTCAGAGGCGACGGCTTTTGTTTGTAGGGGAGGAATTCCCAATGATAGATTGGTCCCTGCTTCGTAACTCGTTCACACATGCTCATGCTACCCTAAATTTTTGGTATGCGAATCCCTTGCCATAAAACGCCGAAAAAGTCTATCATGGAAGACACAGGCGCCTCTTTCCCCGAACGGTGGTTGACGCCGTCCTAAACCTCACTCTACACGCAAGAGACAAACTAGCACATCTTGTACTGTGACTCGCCTGATGCTTGCCTGTGCATGTCGTTCGCCTCGAGCTTGTATGAGATGCTAATGTCCAAATCGCGGTGGTTCTTCTCGTTGGGCTTGTTCTCTAGTATGCCGCTGATGGTCTCGCCCTCCTCGACCGTCAGTACATCCTTCAGGTAGAAGACTGTCTGCTTCCAGTGGGTGTACTTGGTGTGAGGTCCGGTGGAGAAGCGGATGGGCTTATGGCAGGCGGCGAACTCGATGTCGAACCATGCGATGACGGCGTGGATGAAGTCGCTGCGACGCGCCTTGAGCTCGTACGGTAACCGGAAAGCGAGGTCGGCGACGGTGCAGGTGTAAAGGTCAAGGGTGATGACGGGGGAGGGGTCGGTGACGACGGCCTTGATGTCGACAGTGTCGACGAGGGGCTCGGTGATGGCGGTGGCCTTGAGAGGAGAGTAGTCGAAGCCCCAGACGTTATCCCAGACTGTTCTGTTAGCAGTGTTGCAGCAGATCAGAACTTTGCTGTACTTACATCCAATCTTCTCCTCCTTGTACTCGCCATCCTCGATACCAGCCATGAAGATGGTAGCCTTGTCGGGGAAGATCAAGCCGTCCTTGACCAGGTACTTGTCGCGGGCGTAGAGAACGGTGTCCAACATGGACTCGTAGAGCAGGAAGTAGCCCATCCACTCGGATATTATTATGTCGACCTTGTCGAAGGGTAGGACAACCTCCTCCATCTTGCCCTGTAGCAGGGTGATCTTGTCCGACATGCCGTTGACCTCGACGATCTCCTTCGCCTTGTCGATGATGGTTGACATGTCAACACCAATAACGTGCTTTGCGCCGGCCTTTACGGCGAACCTATATCCAGCATATCAGCGCGTGCTCGTGTGTGGTATGTAGAGGGGCGGGAGCGCGTACATGCTCAGGATGGATGTACCGCATCCGACATCGAGGACGACCTTGTCCTTGAACAGGTGAGGGTTCTGGTAGATAGCGTCGCGGTAGCTCTTGGTTCGGACTTCATCTTTCTAAAGCGCATTGTTAGTCGTCGTAGTAAAGGTTAATGGCAGGGAGGGGCAATCGTACCAGCATCTCCTCGTGGATACCTGTATTCGCGCATTAGTATCGTTCACCTCATCAGAGTGTACTTGTACGGACCATGGTGGTTGTAGCTACACAATAATGTTAGCGAAACTCTACGTGTATCTGGACCCTCAATGATGCCTACCTGTTGAAGTAATGCGCCTCAGAGTGCGCCATGCCCGTGAGGGGGTCCTTCTTTCCGGCTTCTTGCTGGTTCGCCATATTGAGAGTAGAGTGTGAGGAGAGGAGGAGGTGTGAGCGGTTGAAAGTAGAGGAAGAGAGACTGGCGTTGCTCCGGTCCAAGTAGGATAGGGAAATTTTGGTTTTGGTAGTACCAAGCACAGACTCGCTCGGTCCAGGGTCTCACCAGGGCAATCTCGGTGGGAAGCGGGGCATCTGAGACTTTGGACGCTAGGCCCAATGAGGCGTGACACGAAGATGTTCACTTTTTTTGCTGTCGATCCCAAGGTTCGTGCAACCAATTTTCTTTACCATTGTACTACGTACGATAAATACAGGCCAAGGCTTCAAGACAAATACAGCATCAAGAACAGCATAGTGTCAATTTGTAACATCCAATCAGAGAAAGTAGTGAGAGGGGTATATCGTGCCAAAAGCAGAGACCGCCCTCGTCGTTACGTCGTGAGAGTTTTGTTTGCGTTATGTCGTAAAGTCGTTAATAGATTTTGATCGTAATGTCGTTATATATTAGAGAGTGTCGTACATTTTGGTCGAAAGGGATTGCTCTGTTGAGCTCGTCAGGAAGCCTACCGGACTCTCATGCGATAAAAGTTTTCTTTGAATTGTTTCGCGTCTATTTATGTATCAGTATCGGAAGCTAATAGATAACGGGGGTGAAATTACCTTCTGGTGAAGTGAAACTCAACCGGTACTTGCCCGTAGGGCCTTTGGGTAGCCTGTAGCTATCACTGAAGACATACGGATGCAGCTTCTCGAACTGGATTGTTTCTGGACCGACGCGCTTCATCCAGTCACCGCGTCCGACATATGGCGTGACGAATGCCGTCCAGATAGGTATGTCTTTCATGGGCCCGCGACGAGCAGTAGCTTCGAACCGTACACAGCCCGAGTCCGTATCGTATTTGACGCGGAAGACGTGGAGATACTTGCCGTCAACGGTCTCACTGAGTAGCGTCAGCATGAAACAAGAGGCTAGTGACAATCACTTACCCTGCAAACATAATCCTTTCTCCTGGCAGGAAAACATCTTCGAGCCCCTCTGCAATGGGGGTGTGATCCTGGCGCTTCATAGCGATGGTGGTACAATAGAAAAGTACCATACCTGAAAGAACATTAGAGAGTGTTTGCAGGAGCGACTCAAATGTACCTACGTTCATATAGAGGGAAGCGTAGTCTAGCCCACAGGTCAAGTTGACCATCTTGGCGATTGATGCGACAGAGCTGCAAGCACGATCCTGCGCGCCGTACTGCTAATGCGGTGATTGGGACCTGGTACCTCACACGGTTGCCATTGTGATCCGTAGTAAGGAAGAGTATTCGTGCACGGTTGTCGTCGGCCCTCCAGTAAATTCTTATCCAGACCTCAGTTGCTTCGAACGGCAGTTCTAGGATCCTTTCAAAGCCATCGGTGTCTAACAGCTCAATCACTCTTGGTTCATCCCTCCCGAAGCACTCAGTTGGTTCCGAGGGGCTTTGAGATGGTGTGGAGCCGTGGCGTCCATCGAATATTTTCATTGCCCAATGAGCGACTGGCTCTGAGTCCGTCGACTGGTTCGAGTAGGCCTGCGATGATGCGGACGAATACGTGGGCGACTGAGGGATTTCTGGCACTGGGGGAGGAACATACGGTATGTCCCCTATGCCTCCCCACGTTTGTGCAATATGAGATCGATGAGGTAGCGGTAGCGGGGCTGGCTGGTACCCGTACTGGGCTGCCGGATACGTGGGGTGTTGGTGTATCTTCGGTCTAGACATCTTGGGAGAAGGCGGCTTTGGTGTTCTAGCACCACCCTTCCCATTGCCATGTACCGAGAGCTTACTGAAGTAAGATTCAATCGGCGTTGGCTTCTGCTTTTTGAGTAACCTAGCCAGTGTGACCTTGAATTTAGCCAATTCGGCCTCATTTTGGTTTCTGGACCCAGTCAGCCATGCTGTTGAACATGTTGCTAACATTATTTACCCCTTCAGAGCATCGTGCATGCACTGCAGATATGTCCTAACAGTCTCGAATCTTTTGGGCAAGGACATGCCTTCCGCCGTGAAATCCGTAAGCGCATCTTCCCAGATGAGTGCGTACGGTGGTGTGCCGGGAAAAGCACCGGGCGCAGCGTGCCTGCTCTTCTTGGACCTGGTGAATATTTCTTGAACATCGTCAAGCGTGTGTCCTAAGCTCGGGAGGCAAACCTCCAGGTCCGTTCGTATGAAGCCTGCATATCTGCCATAGCGGGACGACTCCAGCGCCTCGTTCAGCTCGAGTAGAGCGTGCGATATGGCAAACAACTCTGCGATATGGCTCCTGACGTCTTTGCGATATTGGGGGATCTCACTCTCGAAGGAGAGTAGGCCCGTTGCGGTCTCCTCAGCTTCCTTGGCGTAGTCGAGTAGTCGCCAGTCCATGACAGGTGCGTACCGGGGATAGATAGCCGAAGACAAAGGTTTAGTAGCAACGCATGCTTTAGACGCCTGAGAATCGGCGGGGGAAGGAAAGAGAAACCGCTCAAGCGATGGCGCTACGAGATGAGCGTCTGGGGTAGACGTCTGGTGGCATGCGCGCTTGAGGAGGGTCGGCTCTTGACGTGTTTATGCAGCAGCACGCCGGTGAGAAACGCCAATGACCTATGCCGACAGAATCCCTTACCAAGCCTGCATGTAACCCGCGGTCTTCGCTTCCTCTTTCACACAATTTTTTGTGCAATCAGTTTGGCCCCCAATCTTCTGGAGTTAGAGTCTGTTAGTGTCGGCCAGCCTGCTGCATGCAATTGCGCTGCACCGCTGGACAAGATGCTGTTCTGGACAGGCGGAGACGCCACCCCGATAGCTGCACGTCTGCGCTGTCAGTGGAAGATCATTCCTATCGTACCGGCTCGCAGCACAAAAAGTATCGAAATGTCCAGAGCTTTCGGCCTAATGACATCGTTGGTCTGCATGTCGGCGCCGCGGCATGGTGTTCTGCCTAACTCTCTCCACTATAGCATGGACTAGTCCTGCAATGTAAGCAATGATTGTTCAACGGTTGAGGAGACCTTCGAAGCCGCCACTCCGGATTGTGCGATGATATGCCTCTTGACAACTGTCAACCATGAGAGGATCGATGTGAGAGCCGCCACACTCGAGCTAAGCATCAACGACCAACTCAGATCATGACTATCAATCTGCTCACCCTCTGATGTGTATGTGTGAAATGGCAGGAAGTGCCGTTTGAAAATGATGGGATGGACATGTAGATATATATGTATTGGACGAGACCAAGGCTGCGCCTCACTCTGTCCAAGCCACCACCACAATGGGGCTGCAAGTCTCACCCATGAGCCCCTTTCGAGGCAACCATATAACTGAAGTTGAATGATTTGTTTTGGTTGGTTACTAATGTGGGTCCATCACTTCTACGGCATTGACGGCAAACCCTCGATCTTGGCGCTGAGAGCCTGCTGCGCGTGCGCGTACGCGTAGCAGCCGATGGTCCAGCATGTGTCCATCACTTTCCAAGAGCCTTCAGCCTCTCGTCCACCAGCTTCGAAACCATCTTCTCCAGTATCGCGAATTCTCCATTCGATGACCCTTCAAAGTATCCAGCTACGCTCTTCTCGACGTACTTGCCGACCTGGTCCACCTCGACATTGACGTCCTCGCCCGGCTTCTTGCTTGCCGTGACGACTTTCTCTTGAGTGTAGGCAATCAACATGACCTCCCACCAACCCTCAGGACCATCCTGTACCTTTGTGACCGTCAAGCTAGCCCCATCGATTGTGACGTACCCCTTCTCGACTATGTATCGCAGGACCGAGGTATCGCGAGGCTTGAAGCGGAAGGTAAGCGCGTTGCCATCGGGCGTGACCGATTCGATGGTGGCAATGGTGTCGACATGTCCTTGTACGAAGTGACCGCCCATGCGTGTGTTGGCAGAGACCGCGCGCTCCAGGTTGACCTTGGAGCCCTCCTTCAGCGACCCCAAGTTTGTCCGCCGGAGGGTTTCGGGAGCGCATCCGATCTTGAATGACGACTTGTTGAACTCGGTGACGGTGAGACAGGTGCCTGACTGGATTAGACCACAAACAATTGTTCAGGTAATGCGAACGTACCATTGACACTGATGCTGTCGCCCAGATGGGCGTCACCCAGTATGTCCTCACATCCGGAGATGGTCAACGATGTGCCGCCGCCTCCCGAGGCCGTCTGGTCAAGCTTCTCAAGAGCGGCAACAGCTAGCCATTGTCAGCCGAGCCGCGCAGGAAAGACAATGCATCATAGCTTACTGCCAATGGTTTCAACGAGACCAGTGAACATGGTGGGGGTGGGTAATTGGAGAGAGAAACTTGGTGGGGTTCTGCAGCTAGTGATGAGCCTCGGATCTCCGAACTGGAGCTAGCCCATCGTCGGGAATAGGTATGCCGTGGAAGCATTCCGTTACCCGGCACATGTCGTGATTCTACATACACCACATCGAAATGGCAAGCATGCTGCTGAGAAGCTCAAGACGCGCTTTCCAGGCGACGGCGACATGTTCACGGCTCAATTGGGCACGCTCAGGCCATGTTCGGCGGCTAGCAACTGAGGCATCAAATGCGGATGCATCTAATCTGCCTCTAGCTGGCATCAAAGTGCTTGACATGACAAGAGTACTTGCCGGAGTGAGTCATGAATCATGAACTTTCCAGAATCTCGACTGACTTCTAGTAGCCATATTGCACGCAAATCTTGGGCGATCTTGGGTATGCGACGGATGACCCTGTATGGACCAACCGAGGTTGGCAAAGTCAAAGACTCTGAAATTGACATTGTGTTAGAGCAGACGTGATTAAGATTGAACATCCAACAAGAGGAGGTGAGCAAACCGAGATCTCAAGAAGCCTTTCAAACCAACTGATTTGGACAGATGACACACGAGCATGGGGACCACCTTACGCGAAGTACACCGACAACCAAGAAGGACCGGGAGAGAGTGCTTACTATTTGGGTGTCAGTACGACACCATCTTCACGGCTATCTGAAGCTCACTTAGAATAGGTCAACCGTAACAAACGATCCATAGGCTTGTCCTTCCAGCACCCAGCTGGTGTAGACATCTTGCATCGCCTGGTCAAAGAATGTGATGTCCTTGTCGAGAACTACCTGCCGGGTTCTCTGGCAAAGTACGCCATGGACTATAATACCGTGTCAAAGATCAACCCCGGCATCATCTACGCCAGTATCACAGGTTACGGCCAAACAGGTCCATACAGAAACAGAGCAGGTTACGACGTCATGGTTGAAGCGTACATCTCCCGACTCATCTTCCTATCATCATATTCATTACTGACATCTTCCAGCGAATTTGGCCTAATGCACATCACCGGAACCCGCGATGGCCCACCCGTCAAGGTCGGTGTAGCAGTAACCGATCTGACAACCGGTCTTTACACCTCCAACTCCATCATCGCAGCTCTCTTCCGGCGCCTCAGAAACCCCAAATCCAAGGGCCAACATATCGACGTCGCACTTTCAGACTGCCAAGTCGCCACTCTGGCGAATATTGCCAGCTCCACTCTCATTAGCGGAAAACGCGACACTGGACGCTGGGGAACGTCGCATCCATCTATTGTACCGTACAAGGCGTTCAAGACGGCAGATGGAGATATTTTGCTAGGAGGTGGAAACGATAGGTTGTATGGAGTGTTGTGTAACAGGTTGGAAAGGCCCGAGTGGATTCTCGATGAGAGGTTCAAGACGAACGCATTGAGAGTTCAGCATAGAGACGAGCTAGAGGAATTGATTGAGACCGAGACGAAGAAGAAGACTACGCAAGAATTGCTAGATGTGCTTGAGGGAAGTGGAATGCGTAAGTAACAGCTGTATGCCTCGGGGTTCTTAGCTAACAGTTCCAGCGTACGCTGCGATCAACGATGTGCAGGATACATTGAACCACGAACACGGTATGTAGATTACCTCTGTCGGAACAAATATTTCTTTTTGATGCTAATCTGAAGCAGTGCTTGCAAGAGACATGGTCAAAGAGGTAGAGCACCCGGCGTGCGGACCGATCAAACTAGTCAATACGCCCGTGAAATGGTCAGACTCGACTCCAGGCATACGACTACCTCCACCCACACTAGGCCAGCATACGGACGAGATACTCGGTGATACATTGGGGATGAGTAAGGAGGAAGTGGCGAATTTACGCAGTGAAGGTGTCGTTGCATAACCTATACCCATTCCTTCAACTCAGGTCTTGGGTCCAACACGCCATAGTCAATATCTAGAAACGAAGCCTTTTGAGGAATGTATTCCAAGCCAAATCTGTTCTTGAGTTCAGTCCCAAATATCCTGTCAAAGGTATTGTATTCTCCCGAACAACCCATCTTCAGTTGAACGAATCTGTTGATGTGATCGTTACGCGTCCCCTTAGGTACCTCTAAAACCAATGAGAAATCGTCGCCTTCTGTCCAATTGTTGATGATGAGTTGGGGCTCAGACCAAATCGAAATTTGAAGGGGTTGGCGATAGACGGTAGCTTGATCAGTGAGCCCAGGCTGGATCGGGTTGAATTGAGACGCAACATGATACCCAGGTATTGGTTTGTTATCGCAATTTCGATCATCCATTATCTTGTGTACTTTCCACAGCTGCATGAGGGCAACCTGGTGACGTTCTTCTCCCGGAAAAGTCCTTACTAAGCGGTCGTTTGGGTGGTCCCCGGCTGGATCTTGGAAGCCATCAGGGAGCACCAGGAATTCGCGGGGTTCAGACTGGGCGTACAGCCACTCAAAAAAGCCATCAAAGAGTGGGTCTGTAGTTCTTTCCTCCAAGGGCAGTCCAAACATCTCAAACACAGGGTATTTCGCCGTTCCTTGCATTGATAAAGATATCCACCATTGATTCGTAGTCCAAGTTTTCGGTGTCGGAGTGTTGTTTATTATGGCTGAAACGTTGGCAAGAGGCTCAACAAAAACACGTGGTGCGTATACAGTTGTGAAGACAAACAGGCGGAAGCGTGACCGGATTATGGCTTCTGTCTGGGGCTTTGGCCATTCGTCGGGCGAGTCAATTTGGTCAAGATCATAGCCGCCAGGGTAGGTCCGTTGAACGTTGAACGGACAATGCTTGCCGGTAGACATATAGGCCAATACCAACAGATACAGGTCCATGACAGCCTCGACCTCCTGGAACCAAGTTGCGGCTGGGATTGAGGGACAGCCTGGCGGCACTTCAGTCTCATTCATAACAGCCTCGAAGAAGTCTTTTGAAGGGTAGAAAGAATAGTCGCCCCGTGCGTGGTCGTAATGGCAGCATGATTCCCAGGGTATACGCTTCAAGCGGATAGCAAGCAGTGCATCGTCAACTGCTACTGGACAGGGTCTCTGGTGCAGCAGGTAGAAAGCATGAGGTTTGCAGTTGTCGTCGACAACTTGCTTGAAACGGCGCGAGATGTGTCTGTACTTGAGCAATTCTGGCAGGGTGGTGCTACACTCGGCGATGCAGAGAAGTATTTCGGCTGGGAGGTTGTCCATAGTGGAGGAAATGAATTTGCACTATCTTAGGTCGGGGGCTAGTAAGTTGTAAAGTAGAGTAGGTCGAGACTAAAGGGCGAGCTTCTTTGTACTCCGCATCCCCGCGCGATCGCGTGGCTTACGTCACCGCGTTTCATGAGCGACGCGACGGTTGTCCAGGGCAACGGCGTTCTGGCCATGTTGACCGACACGGGCGCGTGCACGAGCGGCTCCACATGCATCTGGTACACCAACGTCGACTGACATTTTGCCTGCATCGCCAAACCAGAAACAAAACATAGTCACAATGGAGCCGCCACCACGACCCTCAAGTTCGCTATTCGATGTCTTTCTGCGCCTGCGCCCTTCCAACTCGGCAAGTGCGCGCTTCCTCAGCGTCGAAGAGAGCGAGAATCATCATCCAACTCATATAACGATACAACCGCCAACCCAAGATAAACGCAAGCGCGCTGTTGAACGGTTCGCTTTCACGCAAGTCTTTGAGGAAGATGCGCGACAAATGGATCTATTCAAGGGCACTGGTGTGGTTCCCATGATAGAAGGTGTCATGGGCGCACCAGGCCACCACGGCCGGGATGGACTTCTTGCAACGCTGGGTTGCACTGGCTCTGGAAAGGTATGCATCTCTTGAACGAAGCCTACAAGTCTGCATCTCACATGTTAATGCGCTCACAGAGTCACACGATCCTTGGCACCAAATCCCAGCGCGGCCTCGTTCAGATGACACTGGACGTCATTTTCCAAGCATGCGACGAGCAGCTCGTACAATCCCTCTATGGCGCCCCGGCGTACTCCTCGCTCGCAAATGCAGATGTGTCAGAAGCACAAATGTACACTGCGACCGCATACATCGAAAACATGTATGGCGACAATAACCAGTCGGGTCGCTATTCACGCGCGCAAACCCCCGTGGCAGTAAGTCCAACCCCATTTGATACTGGAGAATGCAGAACTTGAGGAACGCGTGCTAATAGAACAATAGGATTGTAGTATATTCTCCACAGGAAGCACATACAAGTCAAACAAAATGCCACGTCCATCTACACTCCCACAATCACCCTCGGTGGCCGATATCCAGATACCCACAGACCCGAGCGCAGAATATGCAATCGTCATGTCAATGTACGAAGTCTACAACGACCGCATCTTCGACCTTTTGAGCGGAAACGCCTTGAAGAACAAACAGCCAAACGTGAAGCGCAGGGCGCTCCTCTTCAAGAGCACCGAAAAGAGTCCAGACCGAAAGGTCGTCGCTGGCCTCACCAAGATCATTTGCGGAAGCTTCGAGGAAGCTATGATGGTGCTGGAAACAGGTCTCATGGAGCGCAAGGTCACTGGCACTGGAAGCAATGCTGTGAGCTCCCGGAGTCATGGCTTCTTCCACATCGAGATCAAGAAGAGAGACGCAGAACGCCAAGGTCCTTGGTCAAGCAGCAACCTCACTATCGTCGACCTGGCAGGATCAGAGCGTGCCCGCAATGCTAAGACCGCCGGTGAGACGCTTGCGGAAGCTGGCAAGATCAACGAGTCTCTCATGTATCTGGGCCAGTGTATGCAGATGCAGTCAGACAACCAAGGAGGCTCAAAGGTACGTGTATCTACCCGTCTCATCATTACTTTAACTAACATACTCTCAGAACATTGTGCCCTTCCGCCAGTGCAAACTCACGGAGCTTCTCTTCTCGAATTCGTTCCCTGCCTCCGCCCGTCAAACACAATCGCACCGTCAGCCTCAAAAGTCCATCATGGTCGTGACGGCAGATCCCAAAGGCGACTACAACGCCACGTCGCAAATTCTCCGTTACTCCGCTCTCGCTCGCGAGGTTACCGTGCCACGAATGCCATCCACCTCCGACACAATCGGTGTACCTCTCAAGCGCCCTGGTACAGCCTCCTCAGGACGTGCGACTCCTTCAGGTCGCACAACGCCCTCGGTTGTAATAGAAGAGCTTGAATATGCCAACGCCGAAATCGCACGCCTTACCTCGGAAATCGAAATCTTCGCTCTGCGCCTCACCGAGGAGACAGCTCGCAGGAAGGCAGCTGAATCTTCCTGGGCCGCAGCCGAAGACCACATGGTCGATCTTGAGCAAGAGATCCGCGACGAATGCTATCTCGAGATGGAAGCTGCTGTCGAGCAAGAACGCCGAAGATGGCAGACGGCACTAGACAACGAACAAGACAACCAGCAAGCACACATCGACTCCAAGATCGACGTCGTCATCCGAGCAACCAAGGCACAGATGAAGCAAGAGATCAAGGTGTACGAAGACCCCGACCCAGAACTCCGCGACCGGGTCGACGAACTGGAGCGAGAAAACGAGATGCTGCGGGCCAGACTAGAGGCCAGTGAGCGCGAGACGATGCAGCGATCCGCGAGTCCCATAAAGAAGATGAGGATCCTGAAGAGCAAGAAGTGGCAAGATCCTGAAAGCACGTTGGGGGGATACGGCATCGACGATGAATGAGTGACGACGTTAATGGCTTCGTAACGAGGTTATGCACGGGTTGGCGTTTGGATTAATATGGCCGTTCTGGGCCCGGTTCTTGCTTAGCTATACTTCTTGAGATACCACGCTTTATGTTTAATTTTCCTGGGTAATACAAGGAACTTTCCTTCGCCTGAACTACTCGATTGCAGGGTGACTGACCATAACGCTGAGTTGTATTACTGTATGCTTGCTTCTCGAGCTTCATTTTCGCTGCGTCAACAGGTCCCTTAGTGAAGGTTGCTCTTTGCCCTTGGTGAAAGCGACCAAGCGCTCCACATCCTCGCTATCCATATCCGACAGTTCATCGTCACCGGTTTCCTTAGTAGAGGCTTCTCCAGCAGCATCCTAAACTACTTTCTGTCCATCTCCCATACCATCCAGTGTGCCATCAGCGCCCAGCCCTGTCCCGTCTCCCTGGTAACTATGGCTGAACACCTCAAAGTTGTCGTCGACAAGCCAATTGAGATCTTCGCTCTCTGGCCGCAATGTACGTGCGAGACCGTTGCCGGCTTTCGGGTAGTGTGCTGGTGGGTCGGTGTCGTAGCCGTCGTCTTCTTCGTACTGGTTGCCTGCCAGATCTATTGTTGTGCGCGGCTGGTGGCTGCTCTCGCCGAGGAGTTGTGCTTCTGCAGCGTCCATCTCGGAGTGTGAATGAGATGAAAATTGTGGTGTGTGGCTTGTAGTTGTGTGGCCGTTTGGAGTCGAAGATATTTGACCTAGGTTAAAGGATGGTGGGGGTTGGTAGTTGGTGTAGTGTTGGGTGGATAAGGGTTGTTGTTGCGGCGTTTCTGACTTGATGGCTGAGGTCTCGGGTATCAGGCTCTTTACATTCGGAGGGAATATGGGTAGTTCTGGATGTCGGATCGTAGCAGTCAGAAGGAGGCCAACTAGCTGATTTTGTGGGAGGGTATTGAAGTATGCGCGTTTCTGCTCGAGTTAGTATACCAAGTCCTGGCAAAGATGCTCTTTTGGAGCGATCGCGTGGACCTACCTCATCTATACTCAGGTCCTCCGCAGCGACCAGATCCTGTGCGCCGTCTACGACGGACTGCTTGGCCCGTATACATGGTCCACACAGCCACTCCTTCTCCAGCACTGTGACGACCTCATTGTCGATGGGTGGGTTATGGCAGTATTGGTGATACGCGGTACTACACGCATCACAAAATACTATCCGGTTGTTCGAGGGGTCCGTCTCTCGGTGACAGGTCTTGCACTTCGCAGCGAGTAGTGTCTTGGTGGACTTCCTCCGCTTCACCCCCTTGGCTGGCTCTGGAATGACGGGTACAAATGTGACGGGCTTGTTGACGCTTCGGCCGGACTTGGTTTGTGTGGGTAGTGGGGTGTACGAGTCTGAGACGTCCGAGTCGTCGTTGTCGTTCTACATCATGTCAGCACCCAGTCCCCGAGCACACCACAACGACTGACATTGCTCTCCTCGTCACTCTCAGACCGCTTCCGCTTGCCGCCTCTACCTCCACGTCCTCCGCGACCGCGACCGCGTCCCCTTCCTCGCCCTCTACCGGATCCACGACCAGAGGAAGGGCCCGACGGTGATGCGCCGACTTCCGTCTTCAGTCCACTTGGTGTGCTAACTCGTCCCCCTCTTCCTCTACGTCCCGTGTTCGCCGCTGGCGGGGGCGTCGGTAGTTTGTCGCTGGTCACGTAACTCTGCAAGATCTCTGCCCGCTTCGCTTCAAAGGCAGCACTGCCGGCGGCATGGCCGTTCTTCCCTTGGATGCGTTCGAGAATCGCGGCCGTAGATGCCGAATACTGGCCGAAGCTGGGGCTTCCAGCAGTGCCGCTTGTCGTAGGAAAGGTAGACATTTGCGACGACCATGCAGTGGGTGTTGTCGACTGCGGTTCTGCATGTGGATGCGGAGGTGCCGACATGGTGGCTGCGCCGCCGATCGCAGTTGGCGCGCCATTGCCAGCGCTAGATTCGTTGTTCGGTGGGTTGGGCGGGTTCATCCTGCTCTAGCCAGTCCCGCGACTGTAGCTACGTAGCTAAGAATGACGCGATTATGTTTGTGGAGTAAGTAGATGGCATGCTGCAAGTTGACAATCAATTCGTGAGAGGCCGCGGTTCTGGCCTAGCTTGACGCTAGCGCGAGTAAGGAAGCGCATTGCATCACTGCCCAGGTGGTCGCCCTTGCTCCTACACCATCTTTTAACGGATCATCTATTCTTAGAGAAACATGACATTTGCCTGTATGATTTACGCCGGACTCTAATATAACTCCATCTCCACATCGGACCACATGATGGCCATTGTCTCCCTTCTTCATGTCGCAGTCTATGCCCTGGAAGCCGCGTACGACGGATCCCTCCTAGATGCCGCCTCGCCTGGCATCATCTCGATTTCCGACTCCGATTTACCAGCTTTGACGTACTTCTGCTTGCCTATGGTATTGCCCAGCGCAGGGAAGCACAGTCCCGGATGAAATACTGTTTGCGCCGCCACCGTAATCGCAATCATCACACCCTCTAGTACAATGAACTCAATCTCGTTACGCATGAGTTCACCTCCCCAGCCTCCGAGCAGTTCAGGAATGCGATATACGCATCGAACAAATATAGCGGTATATGCGACTACAACAGCACCGCAGAAGAATCGGAAGCGTCGGTTTGACCAGAGCCTGAGCGCCGAAGCGGAGAGCTGATCGCGACGGTGATAGGTGCGGGTACTGTACTCCAGTACGAGGAGGCCGAATATCACCAGTACTATTCGGTTGTCAGCTGATTTTCATGGTAAAGCATGCGAGATCAAACTTACCAACAACCTGCCAGATAATACCTGCAATCATGAGGTCCGTCCCAACGTCTCCAATGCTCTCGCCTGGGTCTGCCGTGGCCGCCAGCGCTCCACCCGCACTCTGCATGACCAACGAAGAGATGTCGCAAGCGATGAAGATATACGTGTACCAATTCGGTCGGACTCTGCTCCACTCCTCGCCAAATTGGATGACCACATGCTTAAGTGTCAAGTAGATACCAGCGGCCAAAAAGGCAGGCGCGAAGATGACTACCCTCAACCATTAGTAACGGTAGCTTCCCAAACCTAATGGTGTGGCAACTTACGCATGACAATCTGAATAATGAATCCAGTATTGTCCCAGGGATTCCTGTTGAGCATAATCCTGCCAATGTATCCAAGGCATTCTGCCAAACATCCCAGTCCCACGCCGATCATGTACGTCCATGTCTTGTGGCGGATACCAAAGTAAAGCTGAGCGATGAGGGCGAGCCCGAAGAAACCCGCAAAAAAAGTGTTGGCTGCGAGGTTTGGTGTATAACCATAAATCGTAGCATCAACTGGACACTCAGGCGAGACATCAACGCAGAGTTCGGTGTCGCCCATTGTTATCGTTTTGGTATGCAGGAGTCGATGTAAAAGTAGATTTGTCTTATCGAATGGTTGTAACGTTCAAGAAAGAGTTTCAGATGAGCATGCCAATGACACCTTCATCTACTCATATATGTACTACTCGAGATGCACAGATAATCGAGTTGGTGGCTTGCACTGCCATTATGTTACTCCTCCATCATCGCCTGTTCCTGTACGTACTGCTTGTAATTCTAAATCAGGAGTCGCATGTCGAGTCGCGTATGCCCATTATGGACCGTCTTGCGACGCGGGGCGTATGTCGCAGACACCCCTGCTCCACTTTTCGGAGGGTTATGGCTTGAAGCTTCGTCTCTGCCTAAGGAAATGATGGCTGAGCTGAGCTCGTACGTTGCCTTGGGGTAGTCGGGGGGCCTCACGGGCCGTGGCGCAGGCGAAGCAACTTTCCTCCGTCTCAGGTCAGCTTACGTTGATCAACTTTCCGCTCTATAGCCAAGGCTGAGGACTTGACATGATACTAACTCCTTATAGGGCGTCAGGCGAGACATCCAACGCATCCTTCGTATAAGATCACAGTAACGCGTGTGCGTCGGTGTAGGCGACCAAATGGCTTTCACGTCAAGATGACCCGCTATTCTATGTGAGCACAAGACAGACAGATCCAGAAGGGGTGAGAAATAATTAGATGGTTTCTTGATTCGGAGTGATTATGTGCAGTTATGTACGGTAGTCGCTATTTACTACAGCTTGTGGCTGCTCATCGACCATACACATCGTAGTTATGGGCGTTGATCAGCGCCATACCCTCTTTCCTGTATGTGTCCGGCTCCAAATAACTTGTGACATTGGCGTCGAAAACCATGTCCATTGGGTTGGCGTTGTCGTACGGAGCCCACATGGCCTCTGTTCCATTGTAGTCGTACGTCTCCCTCCATGCGTTGGGGTCAAGGTCGTGGATGAAGCTGACCCAGTTGCTGTTCATGAATCTGGAAAGATCGCGGTAGTTTTCCGTCTTGTTCTCGAACGGAGGAGCGGCAGCAGGCAGGTAGCCGACACCCTGTAGGTTGAGGAACACGAACGAAACTTCTTGGAAATGTGTGACACCGACTGCGGCGGGAAGACCAGCCGGGATGGCGTTGAAACGGTAGCAGTATGCAGAAATGTTGGCAGCAGCCCATGTCTCGCAGGTCAATCTGCGGTTGGCGATGAAGACCTGATCACCAAAGTAGGACGCTGAGCGGCGATACTCCGGTCCCCATTCAGGGCCCAGCGTGAGGTTACCCAAGCTTTGAATCACGTTGACCGAAGGATCGTTAGGGTACGCTGCAAGCAGTTGCTCTATCAAATTGGCAGGAACTCCGTCTGCCATGATGAAGGTACGAAGATCCTCGGTGGAGTTCACAGGCGCAGGGCTGAAGGCCGAGCCCTCATCCGAGTTGGCACCCGAAATGATTGGGACATGAACGAACTCGCCTGTGTTGAGCTGGAGCGAAGTGCGCTTCTGGATGAAGTCACCATCCAGACAAGGCATGAAGTTCGTGATGTTGAAAGTCGGGGTCGTCGTATTGAGTGCAGTGTTGAGCTGCTCTGCGGGGAGCTGGCGGAGACATTCAAGTGGGCTGGTGGTGTTTGCGCAGTTTGTTCGGCGAGTGAGCTCGTTGTACATGTCGGCGTAGCCTACTGCTGGATCGGGAAGACGGCCGAAGTTGATAGGGTTACCACTCTGCATGATAGCACCACGGAAGAGCTTGTCATCGCGTCCACTGTAGGCTGTCAAGTGGAAGCCAACAGACGCCCCACCAGCACTCTCGCCGTATATGGTAACTTTCTCTGGATCCCCTGTTTCCTGTCAATTTATGCGGTTCATGTGTTCCAATAGGAAAACGTACCTCCGAAAGCTTCAATGTTCTCCTGCACCCATTGCAGTGCCAGGCGCTGATCCCTCAGGCCGAGGTTGAGGTTGCCAGTGTCCCTGACTTCTTCACTTCCACTCAGGAAGCCCCAGGCAGATAGTCGGTAGTTGATGGTAACACCAATGATGGGCTTTCCGATCTTTTGAGCGTTCTCCACGGTGAAGGACATGTTGTAGCGCTGATCGATACCTCCTCCTTGGGAGAAACCGCCTCCATGGATCCAGAATGCGACTGGAAGCTTGTCCTCTGCACTGCATCCTGCCGGGCGGATAACGTTCAGGTACAGACAGTCTTCCGATATCTAACATCAGGAAACCAGGTCAGTGTATGCGAAATGGCTGTTTGGTTTATTCAAAACCTACCGGGTAGTTCCATTGATCAGATCCATATCCGTAGCACTGCAAGGTATGTTAGCCATGCCCTATACGTCAGATCAAGGTATGTACCTCAGTAGAGTACTGCGTCGCCGGCTTTGCCTCATCCCAAGAAGCATTGAGGCTGACAGGGTTCCTGAAGCGAAGACTTCCAACAGGCGGTTGGGCATACGGAATACCCAAGAAGAAGTCCTGATCATACTCGGCAGAGTGTGTGCCGACGTATGTTCCGTTCTTCGTCTGAGCAGTGGGCACAGCAGCTTCGGAAGCTGCTAGGCCGAGGAACAGCGCGGCCGCTAGAGAGTTGCGCAACATCTTGACAAGCGATGACAGATGGGATCAAGCCCAAGCAATCGGTAAACTCAGCCATGCTTTATAGTGACAAGCCTTAGCTCGCTGTTGCTCGGTAGCCTCGTCTCGGGGGATAAAGTTCGTGTCGTCCAGCGCGACTAGACATCTGCCGCTCCGTCCTTGAATCCGGGGTATGACGGTATCTAACGCCAAAAATGAAAATGGTCCGAACCGAGGATGGAGTTTTGCGGGGATCATGACATCGTGACACTCGTTGGTTTTCTCGGGAGGTGGAGAAGCACGCACGATCGGGTTCGCTATTGGACAGACTCGACCCGATGTTTACCCGCAGACCTCCAGATGCCTCTTAGCGTGGCAATCTGGACGATGCTGTGGGGTGCAGGAAAGGCACACCCCAACGGCATTTCTGAGTCTGGGGCTCAGACTATCCCCGGTGTTTTGGCCCCCAGAGATCCTCTCCTTTCCACTTTGATCGCGGCACACGACACACGGGATCTTTGAGATACTCTTATGGCATTGAGTGGAGACGCACGTACTAAATGCGCAGTAAATACTGGGATGCATACACAAGACAGAAGGTCTACAAAAGCATTCGGCAACTCCATCGGAGACACTACGGCATTCTACCATCGGAACAGGCATCCGCTCCATGAGGCTCTTCTACCGACTCAGCTTTCTGTCCTATCGCCAAGGTTCCTTACTCGGTAGTATTGGTAATTGTGGTGCACATCGCGATTCACACAGAATCGGCCTCACCAGAACTGTCTTAGTCCTTTCTCTTCATTTCGGGTTGCGAGAATTTTGTCGCCGCGACAACTCCATTCGGTCTGCCATCCGCGGTACTTGACCTAGGCAGATATGCATGCGGCGATGTGATTGAGCTAGGCATCAGTGGTTTTGGACAGCACACGCATACTAACAGATGAGGGCTCCACCAGCCTAATCGTT